TCCAGTTTTATGGCCGCTACCCGAGCAGGCCCTCACATCCAGTTTTATGGCCGCTACCCGAGCAGGCCCTCACATCCAGTTTTATGGCCGCTACCAGAGCAGGCCCTCACATGCATTTGTCTGGTTTCCTTCTTTTGGATATAGACCCAGGAGTAGAATTGCTGTGTCACAAAGTTAATTCTATGTTTAACTTTTTGAGGAACTGCCAAACTGTTTTGAACGGCAGCTACACCCTTTACATTCCCACCAGCATATACGAGGGCTATAATTTCTCTGTGTCTTCACCAATACTTATTTTCCATGTTTTAATTTTTCTATTATGGCCATTTTAATATGTGTGAAGCGGTATCTCATTGTGGTTTGGACTTGCATTTCCTAATGACGAATGACCTTGAGGATCTTTTCATCTGCTTATTGGCTGTCCATACATCTTCCTTGGAGAAATTTCTATCCAGATCCAATAAAAATGTACTCCATTACTGGGGTAAAGGATGTTTTATTGCAATTTGTTAGTTATATTTTATTTATACTGTTAAAGTATCCTATTTTCCTGCATTCTTCTCTCTAGCTCCATCCATTAATTTGATTTTGACATCTCCAACTATTATTGTTGAATTGTCTCTATTCTCCCTCCATTTTGTCAGTTACTGTTTCATGTATTTGGAGGCTGTTGTAAGGGGCAAATATGTTTATAAATTTTATATCTTCTTGCTGGATTAACCATATCATCACTATAAAAAGCACTTCTTTGTCTCTAGCAACTTTTTCAAGGTCTATTTTGCCTGCTATCAGTATAGCTAGCCCAGCTCTCCTTTGGTTATTGTTTGTGTGGTATACCTTTTCCATCCACTTACGTCCAAACTACTGATGTCTTTGAGTCTAAGTGTGTCTTGTGGAGAGCACATGGTTGAATTGTATATTTTTACCCATTTTACAATCTTTGTCTTTCAACTGGAGAGTTTACTGTAAATGGCTTAGATATGAGTCTCCTCAGAACTTTTGCACAAGTCATGCTCAGGGCAAGCTGAGGGCAACAACTCTGTTGTTCATTCCCATGGTTAAGTGAGTCACATAAGCTCCAGGGTCCATTACAGATCAGAGAAATAACCAGGCAAAGAAAACAAACAGTGTTGTTTTTTATCTGATATGTTATCTTGAATTTACTGTATTATTGCCTTCACAGGAATTAAGGTGTAGTCTTACCTAAGAAGAAAGTTTGGCCTAATTTTGATCAATTTGATATCAATTCCATTTGATAAAATGGAAACATCTATTAAATTACATGTAAAATTTTCAAAATCAATGAAATGGTTTATAGTTTTTGCAAATTTTAGTATGGTTTGCTCACGGTCCATCATAGGAGCTACATATGTACTATTTTACATATATGTATTTATTTAAATAATCATTGCATTTTAAAATAATTATCATTAGTTTTGTAAACCCTACTGCGTCTCAAATTATGTGGGTTCCTGTTGAGATTAATTTGAGCTAAGTCATTTTATTTGTTTTCCTTTTTCCTCTTCAACTAGCATGTATTTCTTTGTGCATAAATATTTAATTTATAAAGATGATTTGAAAGGTCTACGATCTTTGTTTCCTGGGAAAGCATTTAGGAAGGTCAACCAGGGGTGTGCAACCTTTTGGCTTCTCTATCTGTGCCATACTGGAAGAAAAATTGTTGTCTTAGGCCACACATTAAATACATAAACACTAGTGAAAACTGATGAGAGAAAAAGGTTCGTGCATAATTTTTGTGATATTTGCCACCATAGATAAGAAAACATATAATTTACATACAGGCCACAGGGTTGGACACACCTGATAGAGGAGGATTCTCTTCGGCTGTTGCTCACTCTACCTATTTTTGTTCTGGGTGCGTTAAAGAACTAATGACACAAAGATTATTGAATGAATCAATAACTGTAGACATAAGCATTCCCTCCATGCACAGTAGTTTTTCCATCAATTAAATTTTAACCTTAAATTAATTCCTTTCTTCTCTTTCAAAGCTGTAAAATATGTTTTCGAATAATATAAACCAATTAAGAATATTAAACTTAAAAGAAATAATTAAAAATCATTAAAAATTTAATTTGCCACTACTATCCAGAGGTCTCTCACTATAGTAAAACAAACAATCAACAAACTACAAAAGACTAGGGACCAATGAAAAGAGAAATCTATCAAAACTCAGTATGTACACTACAATTTCCTGGAGTCCATGCTGTATACAATTTCTATACACCCCCGGGTGTGGGCGGAACCTGCAAATATCATGGGAAATCATCATGGTAGTAATCTGTATTCATTTTCCATGGCTGCATAATAACTTACCATAAACTTAGTGACTCAGCACAACCCCATTTGTTCTCATCTCACAGCTTTTTAAGTCAGGTCCAGGCATGGCTCAGATAGATTGTCACTTGGAGGGTTTTGCAAAGCTGAAATCTAAGCATCAGCTCAGAGTGTGGTTATTACCTGAAACTTGGAGTATTTATCTAAGTTCATTCAGGTTGTTGGTAGAATTCAATTCCTTGTGGTTGTACAACTGAGGTCCCTTTTTTTTTTTTCCTGGTTATTGACAGCTAGAGGGTGGTTTTCATCTCCCATCTGTAGGATTTAGCCAATGTGGACTTTTTACAATGTGGTACTTCTTCAAGGCCCACAGGAGAAGCTCTCTGGCCTCTTGCAAGGGTTCTCCTGGTTAAGTCAGGCCCACTCAAAAGCCTCCCTTTTGATACTCAAAATCAGTTGATTGAGAACCTTAATTACATCTGCAAAATTCCTTCATACATATCATTATCATTAGCAGCATCATTAAGGGATATTTGGTTTGTGATGAATGATTGCTTAAAATAACATACCGTAAACATGATTCTATAAACCATCCTGCTATAACAGGACTTTATAGTTATCTCTATAAACTTTAAATTTTATGTACTTTACAGATTGCAAAGTGCTTGTATATATTTTGCATCGTTTGATTTTTATGACTACTGATCAGAGAGGCTCAGCAGATTATTAGTCCAATGTTGTAAGTGAAAAAGCCAAACCTCACAGCTGCTAAGAGTTTGCCCAAAGCTTTACAGCTAATTAGCAGTAGAGTCAGTTAGGCTTCAGACCAGGGTCTTTTCACCCTATAGCCTGTTTTATTTTCACTAATCATACAGTTTTCAAACAGTGTTTGATAATGTTCACAGGAGACGTTTCAGGGATTACTTCATGAATCGAGGGCAATATTAAGTGTGTAGAGTCAAGTTTTGACATGGTGGGTCTGCCTTTATTTATTTTGTGTTCAAAATAAATTCAACCCATCCTTTAATAACCACTGCATTGCACCAGGCTCCCTTGGTAAGGTAAAGGTAAATAATGTTTAGGAAAAAAACTAGTTTAAAAAGCAGTTTATATAGCTGTATATAAAAAGTCAAAAATCTGTCCCAATAAAGTTCTAAGAAGCTGTCATCTCTTGTAGCATCTGTTGAACCTTTTAAAAAGAAAAGTAGGAATAAAAAAAAGAAAAAGAACCACATTACTTGGTTGGTTTGACATGAATACCTAGGATAAAAAGATGAACCCCACCCCGTTCTCTTTTTAAATAAGCATAAAAAATGAATACCTTCTTAATATCTGGCCTCTTATTTTTCTTTTCATGAAGACATTGACTAGAAATCGAGTACATAGCTTCAACTGAAGTAGAGTCAGCATCATTCATCTTTGTATCAACATAATCTTCAATTGTCTTTTCTTCATCTTCAATTTCTTCTTTAATATCTAGCTTTAAAATAAAGGTTAAAACTTTGCTATAAACTACAACTAAAAGTGAAAGAAACTGGAGTATAAATTTTAATCACTTAAACTAAGCTACTTTGTAATGACATGCATTCTTATTTTAGTATCTTATTTTATAACCCTATTAAGAACTGAAGGCGCAGGAAAAATCCTAAAAATATATATATCACCTGCAAAGTGATGTTTTGGTCAATGAAAAACTGTACATATGCCACTGGGCCCCTAACTCTATAATACCATCTTTTTACTGTATTTTTGCTATGTTCAGATACATAGTATGTTTACATACAGAAATACTTACCATATTACAATTTCCTACAGTATTCTACATAGTGACATTGTAGAAGCCTGTAGCCTAGGAACACATAGCCTGGGTATACAATAGGCTATACCATCTCCATTTGTGTAAATACATTCTAGGATGTTAACACAATGACCAAATTGCCTAACAATGAATTTCTCAGAGTGCATTCCTGTCATTAAGCAGCCTGACTATACATTGTATATACACACAAACGCATATGTATGTATGTATAGCTATGTGTACATATTTATATATACTTGTAAAGTATATCTCCTAGATTCTTTTACCATTTGTCTTCTAATTTTTATTTTTATGTTATGAGTTAATTGCTCTTATGTTCTTGTTAGCAGCTTTTTCTAAGCTGGCGTCACAGGCTGGTCTGCTTCTTGATGGGTTCTTAATAGTGCAATTTTAATTCTGGACCCAGACACCCCCTCCCTGCACCTGAAAAACTTCTTTATAAGTAATATTGTTGAATCAAAGAGAAAAAAGGGAGGGGGAGAAAAGGGAGAGGATCGTGATAAAAAAAAAAAAAAATGAATGAAGAGAAAAGTGTCGGACTGAAGTGGTATAGTGGATTAAATGGTGGCCCCTAACCCTAAAACATACATCTATGGCCTAATTCCTCAAGCCTGTGAAAGTGATCTTATCTGCAAAAAAGGGGCCTTTGTAAATGTAATTAAGTATCTTGAGATGAAATCATCCTGGATTACCCAGGTAGGCCCAAAGTCCCATGGCAACGGTCTGTATAAGAGAAAAAAAGAGGAAGAAATCGTCACATAGGGGAAGAGAATGTCACCATGAAGTCAGAGATTGGAGTGATGAGGCTGTAAGTCGAGGAGGCAAGGAAGGACTCACTCTGGAGCCCCCGGAGGTCCTGCCAACACCTTGGTTTCAGACTTCTGGCCTCCAGAGTTATGAGAGAATGAATTCTGTTGTTTTAAGCTGTTTAATGGTGGTAAAATTTTTTTTTTTTTTTTTTTTTTTGGCCTGGTCTGGGTTTGAACCTGCCACCTCCAGTATATGGGGCCAGCACCCTAATCCTTTGAGCCACAGGTACTGCCCTGTGTAAATTTTTATGACAGGCCTAGGAACCTAATACAAATGGAAAAGACTGTGAGAGGTAGAATGTAACCTCTCCAAAAGCCCTTTTAAGAGGTGAATTTTGAAAATATTTGGTGATAGAAGAATCTAGTCATGTAAAGGATCTATTAAGGACTATTCTCTTTTAACTGTACTTGTATTAAAATCTTATTACTTTATAATCATAGTACAGTCAAACCTTAAGATTGGGTGAAAAAGTATAACCTTCCCTGAAGTTTTATGACTGTCACTATTATAATGTGAAGTCCAACCTTGTGACTGACATAGATGCTGTGTTCTTCTGCATTTCATCCTTACTAGAGCCAAAATTTTAAGGTTTTTATATATTCTAAAGATAAAAAATGTCTTAGACAAAGAATGGAAAGTTTCAGCCTTTAGACAGGTAGGCCTTGTCTAAAAAATATAAGGTATAAGTTAGTGAAACACTGGATTCTACCTTTAGCCCTCCAGACCTTTTCTTCCTCTGCTCCTATAATCTAAATATTTTCTCTGGCCTGGGTGCAGCAGCTCAGGCCTGTAATCCCAGCACTAGGGGAGGTCAAGATGGGAGGATCCCTTGAGATCAGGAGATTGAGACCAGCCTGAGCAAGACTGAGACCCCATCTTAGCCAGGCTTAGTATAGCTGGACTACATCTGTAGTCCCAGCTACTTGGGAGGCTGAGGCAGCAGGAGTGTTGGAGCTCATGAGTTTGAAACTGCAATGAGATACAATGACACTAACGCATTCCAGCTGGGGCAATAGAGTGAGACTCATCTATACACTTTCTCTGTATAATTCTGTCCACACCCCAAGCTTTATCTATGCCTGTATACCTCCTGACCTCCAACAACCAATGGGACTGGCTGAGGATTTTATTTCTCTGATTAAGATTTTTACTTTTTATGGGCCACTGAAAAAAATCTAAATATTATTAAATAATAACTTTTCACAAAATTATCTTTTATTAATATACTCCAAAATGAAATGTTATATTATACATAATTATTGCATTTCCCATGTACATTGGAAACTTTAAAATGTACAGTTTTATGATGATACCTATAACATTATAATATATAAATATAATATTTATGAATTTTCTCAACAAAATATCGCACAAGACCCCTGAACAAACAAATTATACTTTTGACTTTCTAATCCTCACTCTAGGGACATAATCTGGTACATGCATATTGTCGGAATAATGTCATCCTGATCTGTCCTATTAGAACACACAAATTGGTGTGTAGTATTTAACTAATTTTAAGAAAATCTACATGCAATAGTAGGAATTTCCATAATCTTTAATTTTAAAAAAAGATCCTCCATGCTCTTAAATTTTTCTATGTAAGAAAATAAAGGTCGCGGCATAATTGTCTCAGAGCTGTATTTAGCATTCATTTAATCTATATAATTGTCAATGAGTATCTAATAAATCAAATTAGGTATGTTTTCTATTATCACATTATAAACAAAATGCTGCATGATAGAAATTGATAGAGCACTTTTACTAACAATTCTATTCTGATACAAATTTGAATGGAAGCCATGCTTTTCTGTTCTAAAAACACTGAAAATGCTGTCAGTAACCACTCTGAAAGTAAGAAAACAAAAATAAACAGAAGAGACCCTGGGAATCATTCAGTTCTATTCTCACTTCATGTACAAAAAAAAAAAAGCAGAACAAAGAATACATAAGTGGCTTTCCTAGGCCTCACAACCACTTCATGGTAGAGCTGAGATCTGAAATAGTTCATGCTTTCTCCATATGCTACCATGTAATTGCCAGTGGAAAGACCGTCTGTAGAAAATGTCATTTCTAGATGCCAAATTTAGCCATATAAATTTAGAATACAAATGCAAAGAGAAACGGATTGGAAAAAATTAGTCTTTCAATTACCAATAACTGAGGTTCACGGTGCTCATCCACAGCCGGAAGTCCAGTTATTATTTCTAGTAAAACCTATGAAGACAAAAAAGAATTCATCGCTGTGATACCAAAGATGATACATAGAAACTAGAAGGAATATGGATCTTATTGTAAAATGATTAGTCCTTCCCATTCAAAGCCCACGTCTTCTAGGTAGGACAGTGGAAAGCGCGTGTGCTGCGGGCCCTGCTCACCACCCTTCCTCCGTGTGCACCTCTAATCTCACCATGCTCATAAGCAATTCTTTTCTACTGGTAACTTACTAAACAATCAGCTCCACAGAACATGTGTTCTGAGGACTTAAATGAAGCAACAAGAAGATAAATAACCCCATCAAAAGTGGGGGAAAGACATGAGTAGAATTTTTTCAAAGAAAGACAAATGACCAACAAGCATATGAAAATGCTCAATATCATTAAGCATCATGGAAATCCAAATTAAAAACACAAGGAGACACTACCTTTTCCTGTCAGAATGACCATAGCAAAGTCAAAAAACTACAGATAATGGCATGGATGCAGAGAAAAAGGTGCACTTACACACTTATTCTATAGAAACAGGCTAGGTGTGGAGGCTCACACCTGTAATGCTAGCACTTTGGGAGGCTGAGGTGGGCGGATTGCCTGAGCTCAGGAATTTGAGATTACCTGAGCAAGAGCAAGACCCCATCTCTAAAAACAGCTGGGGGTGTGGCAGGTGCCTGTAGTCCCAGCTACTTGGGAGGCTGAGGCAAGAGAATCACTTGAGCCCAAGTTTGAGCTATGATGCTAGAGCACTCAACTGAGGGCGACAAAGTGAAACTCTTGTCTCAAAAAAAAAAAGTTATTAGGAATAGACTAGATTAGAAAATGCCAAAAAACATGATATTAAAGTATATCCTATGTGACATGACTTGTTTAATGCATTGATTTAAATGACATGCTAATTGAGACAGAATAGGAGGCAAGGAAATAACTTCTTGCAGTAATTTAAAAAATCGACTCAAAAGTTTTACATATTGGAAGAAATTTCTCTAAACTTCCTGGTGTAATTAGAGGGGAATGTGAGCAACTTATAATGTGACATTAGAGAGCCAATATGACGAGCATATTGAATGATACCCTACTTCAATGCCACAATTACAGAAGGAGGATTATTTTTACCCATTTTGTGCATGGAACTTACCACACCGAAGCTGTAAATGTCAGATTTGGGTGTTATTTCCCCTCGCAAAGCTTCAGGTGCCATATACGCCGTTGTTCCCACGATTCTGCTAGTCATGACTGTCTGGGAAAACTTCTCAGAAGCCCGTGCGAGCCCAAAGTCAGATATTTTGGCAGTAAAATCTTCATCTAGTAAGATATTTGCACTGAAAAATTTAAAATTTGGAAGAGAAAAGGTTTTTTTTCCCCAGGAAAATCAAATGGTTCCTTAGCTAGATGTATGCATGTACACACACATGGATGTACACAGAGATTCACAGAATATGCCACTTAATAGTATGTGTCATAAAAGCCTGAAATTTGTGTAAATTTCTGTCCATGTTAGTTAGGAGATATTTCCATTATTCCACCAATAATCTGTTACAGGATAACTTTCCACAAAGTCTTCCCAAGCACCTTTCCTAACTTTTCCCTAAAATTTCTAATTTAACTCAAAATTTTAACCAAAGTATCTGAATAATTCATTTCTTTAAATTATTCTTTTCTTTTTTCCTGTACCATCTGGAATCCTTTGGAGAGACTATGGGTAAAAGATCTTAACTCATTCACCACATCCATTCATTAATATATTCATTTAGCAAAACTTTATTAAAATCTCCCTGTTGTATAGTATTTAAGCTTAGTGCTGAGCATGGGGGAGTCTTATCTGTTACAAAGGCATATATGAGTATGTTTTTAAAAAAACAATAAATACTACATGATGGTAATATTAAGGACAAAATGCTGAGAACAACCATATATCTGAAAGATCTGGAGAAAATTCTGAAGAGAAGGTGAAGAGTGTGGTTAGTCTTAAAGCATTATTAGAAGTTGACAGTTATATAAGTGAAAGAAAGGCATTTCTGGCAAATGTAGTAACATGTACAAAAAATAACGAAAACATGAAACTGCATGGTATATATGACCGATTTCAAGGAACAAGTGTCTGCGGAACCTGGGGAGAATTTGAACCTTATTCTGTGAGCTAAGACAGCTGAACATTTCATAACAGGGAACTGACGTTAAAAGACAGCTTTAGGATCAGACTCACCTGGTGGTGCTGCAGTGAATAGATGAGAACTGGTACTGACTGGTTTTAGGTAAAGCAGAAAGGTTTATAACAAAGCAGATGAGAAATAATGAGGGTCTAAAGAGAGACAGCCCTGTAGATAAATGCAAGTGCCAATTTTGAGGCACCCTCAACAGAACATTGTCATTACTGTGATACGGAGAATGAGGAAGTCCATAGCTTGGGAGACAGAATGAATAATGACTTATTTATTAGGAAGAAAATACTGGGAAGAAGACTTGGAAATGGAAAAGATGATGAGCTTGATTTCTGATCCGTTGACTTAGAGGCTCCTGTGGGACTTGTAGGTGAGGTGCTTTTGGCACGAGAAAGGTGAAAATGTAGGATTACACACTGAAGATATAGATGGGAGAGTCACCTGCATATCGACAGCAGATAAGTCAACTACTCAGCAAGAACAGGCAGGGAGAACGGCAAAGGCACGGAAGCAAGGACGAGGGTGTCCGCAGTGAGGGGCAGAGCCTGTTGTGTTCTCCTTATCTAAGGTCAGTTCCCTGCGGGGCTGTTTCCTACCTCTCAGGAATCTCACTCTATGATTATCTCCATCTCTATTTGTAGCTTTTCTGTCTTATCTGGATCTTTCCCATAGGCATATAAACATGCTTTAGTCTCTGCTATCTTAAAACAAACAAACAAAAAAACAACTTTCCCTGAATGACACATTTATTCCCAGCCATCACTCTTCCTTAGTAAAATTTCTTAAAAGACTTACCTATATTCACATCAAAGTTTTCGATCTCCCTCACTCTCTTCAACTACCACTGATTTCTGCCCCAATTATTACATGAAATGGGTCTCCATGGAGTCTCTAATGACCTCCGTGATGCTTACCCAGCGGTGAAAGCATTCACCTCTTCTGACTACTCCCTCTTGGGAAACACTTCCCTATATGCAAGGTCCTCACACTTTCCTGGTTTTCATCTTCCCTTTCTGTGTGTATATTTAAAGATTCCTCTTTGGGATCATTCTCTTTTACTTGGCCATTAAGTCTGGGGGTTCCTCAGGACTTACTCTTAGATCTTTTCTTAATCTATATCTCTCCTTAAGTGAGTACGACCCTCTACCTATCACCTGGGGCAAGTAATACACATATTTACACCGTCAGCTCAGACTTTGTTCAGCTTCAGATCTGTATGGATATCACACAGTGTGTTCAGCATCTCCACTTCTCTATCTTAAAGCACCTCAAATTCAACGTGTACAAAAGAGAACTCACACTTTCCAACCACTCTTCTAACCCCAGCCCAATCTGGTCTTTCAGTCCTTTCTGTATAAGTGAATCATGCCACAATCATTCTAGAATGCAATTCTGGATGCCATAATGCCAGGAGTCATTCCTGATGCCTTTCTGTGACCCCCTCCAAAGCCAAGATACCAGTAAGTTCTGCTCCCCTAAAATCTCAAATCTGCTCACCTCTCTTCAGATGAACTGCCACTGCCAAGACTTTTGTCAAGCTCTAACTACGTTTTCTTCCAAACTATTCTCCACACTGGAGTCAAAGTGATCTTTGTAAAACTTAACATGCTGCCACATCCCTACAATATTCAATGTCATTTCACTACACTTATGGTAAAAACTAAACTCCTAACCTTGGATCCTACAGGACCTAGCTCCCTGCCTGTCACCATGGCTTTACCTCCTTCATTTCCTGCGTGTCAGTGATACGGCATTTATTATCATTTTTTTAATGCATGCTCTCATTCTCCCTCTCCCCACTGGCCTTACAAATGCACTTCCTTCTGCCTAGAATGTAGCTACTCTCAAATTGTGCCTGCTAGTTTTCTGCTCATTTTTTGGATCTCAGCTTAAAAATCACATTCTTGGGAACCCTTTTTTTTTTTTTTTTTTTTTTTGAGATGGAGCCTCAAGCTGTCCCCCTGGGTAGAGTGCCATGGCATCACAGTTCATAGCAACCTCCAACTCCTGGGCTCAAGCGAGTCTCCTGCCTCAGCCTCCCAAGTAGCTGGGACCACAGGCGCCCGCCACAACCATTTTTTAGTTGCAGCCATCATTGTTGTTTGGCAGGCCCGGGCTGGGGATTCAAACCCACCACCTTAGGTATATGTGGCTGGCGCCTTAGCTGCTTGAGCCACAGGCGCTGAGCTGGGAACACTTCTTTATATTAATCCTATACAATGTACTATATACGAATATTCTGTCAGGATTTTGTGATTATTTGATTGATGTCAAACTACAATGTTACTTTTTCTAACTTTGCCATCTACATTACCAAGCATACAGGAGGTAAATGTTCGACTAGATAAATACATAGGAAGGAGGAGAACTGAGAAGCGCTCAGGGAGGGTGAAAGCGATTGAGAAAAGGGTGGTGATCTAGAAACTAAGAAAGAAACCCCTAATTTCCACAAGGCAAAAGTGGTCGAGAAGAACAGAATGACATGCCATTACATGCGAAAGAGCTCAAGGAGGCAAGTAGGTCACTGGGTTTGGAATAAAGAAGATTCTAGATGTTTTTACTGAGATATTTTTAGTGGAGTGATGGAGGGGAAACGTCCAGATGCTGTAGGTTAAGACACACATGTGAATAATGAATAGAAAGAGAGAGAGCAAATTATTTTTCAAAGATGGTTTTCCAGAAGCTCTTTAACAATAGCACTTACCTTTTAATATCTCTGTGTATATGATGGTTTTCGTGTAGAAAGCTGATGCCACTAGCTGCACCCTGAGCAATCTTGTATCTCATGTGCCAAGTAAGTGGCGGGGTACCATCCTTATGAAGGAACAAACCAATTATAAAAAAAGATGATAAAAATTCATAGAAAATACTGGATGTCCATAAAGTTCACGTGCAATTTAAAGTAGACAACTGTCAAAATAGTCTATGGATACCCCGTATGTAACAAAGAATATTTTTCTAGGCAACAACTATAAATTGTTGGACTAGAATTTGGGACTATGATTTTTTAAGTTGTTAAAAAATAGTCTTCAAGTATGACCTTCATCGTCTAACCTTTACGGATAATTTTACATTTTAGGTTGTCACCTAATAGACCAGCAATCCCAGTTGTTTACCAAGCAGCTGTCCAATTTTCATAAAGTAGAGAAAAATATTGTTTAATGTGGTTTAAATGATTTTGTCACAAAGTGAATATTAGTACTCCAACATGTAAACAGAAAGCCAAACAATCTGTTAAACAAATACCTTACCAGGCAAGATAGCCTGTCTAGCAGTGAACCATTGGGCATATAAACATAGACCAAGCAGAGATCATCCCCGTCGCTTGAGAAACCAAGTAGTTCTACTAAGTTTTCATGTTGACACCTGTCACAAATATCCATAATTATTTACCAAAATAAATAAATAATTATCCAATAATTATTTACCAAAATAAAATTATTTTGATAAATACTTACATTTTCGGGTTTAGGTTAGATGTTATTCAATTTAGAGTTTTCATAGGAAAAACAGCAAGAAAATAATGTTTTGTGTCATTTATTATATATGTAACCCTTATGTAATTTTCCATAAACAGTTGTCTTTTCAGCCAATATGGATCAACAATAGAAGCAAAACTTTTATCTTATAGTAAAAGACAAATAATTCAGACCATTGGAACTTGTGATAGTTTGGTTAAGGACGAGGCTCCTGTTTTATTTAGTGCAATTTTTAATGATAGCCTAGGTAAGATTTCAGGGAGTCTTTATGATAACACTTTCAAGAATGCTCTAACATAGCTGAAGTACTGCTTTATAGATATGATCTTTAATTACATCTAGACATTTCTGAACTTTAATCACATTTGATTATTTATAACCTAGTTTGAGTTTCTTTATATACTTAAAAGTAATAATTGTAAAGAGACCTTTGGTACACATATAATAAAACTGCAGGCATCTGTGGTTCAGCAGAAAGGAAACAGGGCTCAGAGTTCAAAGTCCTAGTTTAAAGCTCAGCTCTGCTACCTCCTAGATATGGGCTAGATACACAGTAGCAAGTTAACAACTCACCAAGCCTCAGCTCCTTTATCTGCTAAATGCAGAAAAGAGTACCTATTATGTAATATGGACGCTGTGAATGTTAAATGAGTAAACACGTATCTGAAAGTGTAGAAACATCCCTGGTACATCGGTACAGTGTGTATGCTTTTTTTCATTTAACATGATCCACCAATCTGGCATTTTGTTATACAGGATGGACATAAAGTTTGTGTGCAATTTAAAATAGTTTACATAGTAAACTGCACATGAGCTTTATGGATCAGACTTATTCTGTCCTCATAAACATTTTAAGAAGTGCAAATTAAAGCAGTAAGTGCTCCATTTTCCACAGAATTGGCACATTTTAAATATGAATAGTTCTCATTTGCTGGGTTATCCTATATATAAGGCACTGTGCAAAGTAATTTACCTGCTTTTTAAAATGTAATCCTTACAATAAGGTAATGAAGTTAAGTACTATTATCCCATTTTATAGATGAGAAAACTTATAAATGGAATGGTCAAGGTGATTCTACTAGTAAAGTCCAGAGATTTGCCCTTATTAAAAAATAGTAATAATATTCAGTGGTGGTAAGGAAGCAGTGAAGTTTGAGGCTATAATACCACAGCTGGTAGGAATATAAATTACTATAACTTATCTATAAAGTCATTTGGATGTATATTAAGAAAGTCTTTTAAAAGTGCATGCACTGGCTTGGCGCCTGCAGCTCAGCAGCTAGGGCTCCATAGACACAGACACCAGAGCTGGCAGGTTTGAACCCAGCCCAGGTTTGCCCAACAACAGTGACAACTACAACCAAAAAAAATAGCTGGGTGTTGTGGCAGGTGCCTATAGTCCCAGCTACTTTGGAGGCTGAGACAAGAGAATTGCTTAAACCCAAGAGTTTGAGTGATGCCACCTTACTCTACCAAGCCCTATTGCTCAGAGGGCAACATAGTGAGACTCTTGTCTCAACAACAACAAAAAAATTTCATGCACTGCCACCTAGGACTTTATCCTGATGAAATAAGAAGAATTGCACTTAAAAACTCCAGTATAAAGAACTTTAATGAAGCTTTAATTTGTAATACTGAACATTAGAAATAAACCTAGTGGGGTTATAGTTAAATTAAATATGATCCTCACATATGCTAGAATGTTGTACAATCATTTAAAATGCTTTCAAATTATTGCTAATGACATGGCAAAAATGCTGTACACATATCATGAAGCGAGTACACTGAAATATTAGCAATGGTTATTGCTGGTATAGTTGAGCGATAGTTTTTATTACTTTAAAAACATTTTTCTATATTTCCCACAATACCTACTTTAAACGAATTACTTTTAGGATTGGAGAGTAGGGGTAAGGTGGGGAAAACAAATCCTGAAAAAAAAAAAAAGAGCTGATCTTTCTTTGGTGTGTATTCATTTCCCTGTGCATGAATTAATTCCAGTCTATTCTTTCTTTCAGTTAAGTTATTGGAACTGGTGATTCAGAGGAGTGGGTCTAATGCTACAATTTGGCAAATCCTACCAGGATTCCAACCAAAAGCTCAGGCTCTGGAATTAGGCACATCTGGATTTCAATCACATCTCTAATACTTACTGGCCATGAGACTTTGGACAAGTTACTTATTTCTAAATCTCAGTTGAGTAAGTTGTTGAGAGGATTGAATGAGACAACGCACAGAAATGCACAGTACAGTGTACTGTGCATATTGTACACACTCAAATTATCAATCACTATAATCACTGTAATAAATCATATGTAACTGGTTTGTTCCTCCTACTCTTTCTGTGATGGCAAACATTTTACAGCACACTGGATCCATCCCTGCAAAGCATCTTTGCATGGAAGACTTCCCTACTTGCTTTACAGGTATCAACTTACATTAAAGTGCCTATTATTCTATTCTTTTTAAATATCTCTACAATTGATCACTCATGAATTCTGGGAACAGAAAGCATGATAATGGGCGATAATTGGATTTCCATGTAACTTTTTGTGATTTAAAATACTAACTTAAATTAAATTGCTGTTTAATCTATAGGTATAGATAGCACAGAATTGTAGAGCCAAAGAATGTTCAATTCCTCTAATTTAAACCTTTTATTTTAATTTTATATATTTGCAGGGATCACTAGGTTGTGGCACTCTCTGGATTACACCTAGCTCCTTGTTCCTTGTCTTTTTCTTTGCCATTCTAGGGCACTGACAAACGGATACTTACTTTGCCATTACTTTTATTTCTTGATCAAATTGTTGTTTTAGTTCTTCCGTACTAATGTCAACCATCTGAAAAATAAAATCGTATGCAATGTATAATACAATAACTCCAGGGATCTTAAACCTGAAATGGGGTTCCAGAGATCAGTTGGCTGATTTCTCTCTCTTTAAAATAATAACATATTATTCTCCCCATTTCATAGGACAACTGAGATCCAGAAATAATAATAATTTGCTCAAGGGCCATGCCTGGTTAATAAAATGAAAAAAATACAGAAATCTCACTGAGTTGTTGTAAGAATGAAATGAAATACATGAGACTTTACTGCATACAAATTTTGAAAAAAATGTGGAAATCAGAAAACACAGGCAAATTGAAAGGCAAAAGGAAAACAAAACCTGCAAAAGTATTTGCAACACATATGACGAAGAATGACTCTCCATGTCATATACATGTGTATTCGATTAATTTCTCTTTCTTTTTCTTTGGGTATTTTTAGGATACGAGAGCAGATGTAGAATACAGCAGATCAGTAAATAAAAGGTGAACACCTCAGTAGAAATGGGAACAGAGGACACAGATAAGAACATTTTCAGTCTCCTTTTTCTTAAGGCATACTTTCTAAACTTTATTTTAAAATGGGAAAATAATGCAAAGAAAGTCACGTTTGTCAAATGTTGTGAGTATCTAACCACTTTAATACTGATTCTGCCTGAAGCACTGCAGGCAGCAGGGCTTTTGAACTTTATTTTGTGAATTTCCCACACTTACATGTGTGACCATGTGTATGTGTGCATAGACAGCTATATTTTTTTAAGGCTAGAACTCATAGCTTTCAATGGATTTTTTAAATGTCAAGCATTAACCAGCACAGAAAGGTGTTTATTCAAAGAAACTACATTACTAAAATAATATACATCCCAAAGATTAACTTAAAACCTATTCCACAGCACAGGCAGCGACTCTTCCTGTATTTCTCTTTATTCCTGAACATATAACTTACCGCTGCCAGCTTCTTCACAGCCACGGTTGTGTTGTTCACGTAGCCTTTATACACGACGCCAAATCCTCCCTCTCCCATTTTGTTACCACCCACAGATAGGGGTCGTTCATCAAAGTTATTCGTGACATTCTTCAGTTCATAAAATGAAAAACTGTGAAAACCTATAATGTTAATAAAATAAGAAAAAAAAATGCTTCAATTAAAAAATCAATTTCTCTTCATAATTTCAATATTTTCTCACTTAAGAGATTTCATACATAGGTGAATATTTGTAATTTTGGATTAGGTGAGATGGGAGAGGGCAAAACCATTCTGCAAATACAAATTACAAGCTTTATCTGTTTGCTGACCTTCCCTTCCAAACCTGTAGTCGATCACCCGAAATGCTAGCAGCATATTTGCGTGGGGCTGGTCTATCCACCTACAACTCTAGTCACCTATTTTATTGTTTAAAAAGTGGCTTTTCCAAGTTATATACATGTTTACGCATTTTCTTCATAGCATCTGTGTGTGTTTGCATCCCCCATTGCCTCTAATCACTGATAATACACTAATTAATACACTAAAGATGGTGTGTAATAAATCAGAAGGGGAGAACCCCCTGAAGAGCCACTGCCAGTGTGCCCCTGACGGCTGCACACAAAAAGAAGAGAGCTGTATTTTAAAACAGGGAAAGCCTTAATGAGAAATCCACTCCAGGAAAGCCCTGAAAACGTCACTTACGTGTATCACTAACTTCTCCGCTTGCGTTGTCTGGACTTGAGGAGTCGGGTAGCACGAAGTTCTGGTCAAGGTTCTGCACAGGCCTCGCAGAGGTCCTGTCTTTGTCACAGAAAGGCAAATGCGTCTGCTCAACAGTTGCGGCTTCCTTAGACGGCAGCGTGTTAACCGTTTTGGGAATAGCATCTGTCCAATGAAGACACAAGTTGTTCTTCCATAAGAAAAAGTGCTGTGAAAAAAGTCAAACTAGAAACCTGGTTCATTTAACATCATTGCAGTTACTCCAGGGCGGCCCGTAGTCTCACGGCACAGACAAGAAGCTGCCTGGGCAGAATCCCTACGTTGTGATAAAGGTGAATAGGGAGGGGAAGGCAGTGTTTGCAAAAAGTGGTCCCTGCGCTATCTGCACCAGAGACACTGAAGCACTTAGTTAAGAACACAGACCGTGAACCCAGTTTCAGAATTCAGATTAAGCAGATCTGTCTGGAAGAAAGTCCAGGAATCTATGTGCATAACAAGAACCCAAATGATCCTTATGCACAAACAGCTGAGGACCAAGGGTGTAAGTGGCACCAATGGAAGAAAGTACTAGGTATTAACACACAAGAATACAATTTATGGGAATCGTGATCATAGAGTCCCATGAAGGTAGAAGTTCAAGGTAAAAAAGCGCAAGAGCTCAAAAGAAGAATTACTTTCTTACACACTAACCTAGATGTCTAAAGTCTATATCCTTCTAAACTTCCTACTGGCACAGAACTTCCTGACTTTAACAGTAGGATCATAGTCAGTCATGAAGCCTCTATCACCTTCACAGCAGAGGCCACAGTGTCCTGTCTGGGTGCTTGTTAAAGACTTAGGGAGAGCGGAGAGAATGAAGGGACTCTCAAGTGTATTGTTTTTCTACTATGAGAAAAAAGGAAGCACAAGAAGAAATGTTTCAATTTCTGCCATTTGTCTTTCCATTCTAATTTTTGACATCCTGGTCACAGTTTACCTGGGAGCAAAAGACTTGCAGGAGCAAAAAACTCATTTTGGACCAAAAGATCCACAAGATCACCAACTGTGCAGTTTGTGGTACCCCAGTCAAAGAGTAATTCACTGGTGGGACTTTTTCCAGTTTGGAGTAATGCTTCAAATCTCCTTAAAAGCAAGTAACAAAGAAAAAACATTAGTCTATTGTCTTAGGTCATTTTCTGCTGCTAAAACAGAACATCACAGATTGGGTAATTTATGAACAACAGAAGTTTATTTGGCTCACAGTTCTAGAGGCTGGGAAGTCCAAGATCAAAGGGCTGCATCTTAGGAGAGCCTTCAAGCTCTGTTCATTCCATGGTGGAAAGATGAAAAGGCAAAAGAACATGAGAGAGAGAAAGAGAGAGAGAGAGAGAGGCAGACAGACCATGCAAGCAAGAAAGAACTCATCTTATTTGTGACCCACCCCTGAGATAACTAACCTACTCCTGCCATAATGACATTGATCAATTCAGGAGGGCAGACCCCTCATGGTCTAATGACCCTTAAAGATGATTGGCAATTAAATTTTTAATGCATGAACTTTGGGGATACATTCGAGCCATAGCATGTATAAATTGAGTTCATATGAAAATAGGAATTGATCCCCTTGCCCTGTCTCACCCACAGCACCTCCTGTAACATAAAGGGAAAGGAAGAGCAAGAGAACAAGTAAGAATTATAAAGAAACAGGAAGGGCAGAAGGAAAAAGAGATGCCAGAGATGATGTTAATAAAAGTGACCGCTTACTGAGTACTTGCTGAGTATTCAATCTGTGTGCACAGGATGCACACACATGACTTGTACAAAGATAATGTAATCATCATACTACTCCACTAATGAGAAAACTAGGCTTGGAGAGGTAATTAGCCCCCAGCCACACCGCCAACGAGATGAATCCAAGGAGAGTTTCCAATTCAGATCTCACTTGACCAAAGGCTGTGCCCTCAACCTACTTAGTTATGTTACCTCCAGTATGACTTACTAACTCTGCTATTTATATAATTTTTAATAAATCAGCCCACTTGGTTAAAGAACTACATGTAGAATATACATAACATTAGAGAATTATTCCTTAATCTTCAATTAAAATGAAGGAAAAACAGAGATTCATTTTTTCATTCTGTGGCTTTAAAACTAACAATTAGTTTTGAAAAGTAACATTTAAAAAACTTAAGCAATCTAGTTTTTTCTGCTTTTCTCCAAAGTCCTTATTTTGAAAAACTTCAACCTTATAGAAAAGTTGAAAGAATTAGACAATGAACAACCATTTACCCTTCCATAGACCCACTTATTGGACAACTGAGAAAATCTTGGCACATTTGTGCTCTTGTTCATGTTTTCTATTAGTCTATGTCTGTGGGGAGTGGGTTTTAGAGTGTGGGCCAGATGTCTTAGAGAATGTCTCATGGTCTAGATTTACCAGACTACTTTCTCATGATTAAATTTCAATTAACATTTTTAGTGAGAACACTGCATAGGTGACAAAGTGCTCTTCCCACCCTATGACATCCAGAGGTACATAATGGCATTCTGCATCATTACCGGTGATGTTAACGTCTGATCACTTGGTTAAGGAGGCATACCTCATATTTCTTCATTATAAAAGTACCTCCCCCCTTTATAACTCATAAGTAATTTGTGGATAATATTTTGGAATCTTGTGCACATTCTGTTCACCAACAACCTGATGCTTTTAGGCTCACCAATGAGTCTTATATGAATCAATTATTCATTGGTGGTTGCAAATTGGTAACTTTCTAATTCTACCATTCTTTTAATAATTATTTGCTGGTGTAATTCTACAAAGAAGAGCTTTTTTGGCTAGGCGCGAGGGCTCATACCTGTAATCCTTTAGGAGGCCAACGCGGATGGCTTGCTTGAGCTTACGAGTTTGAGACCAGCCTGAGCAAAAGCAAGACCCCGTCTCTACTAAAAACAGAAAAACTGAGGCATAGAGGATCACTTGAGCCTGACTTGGAGGTTGTTGTGAGCTATGATGCCACAGCACTCTACCCAAGGCAACAGCTTGAGACTCTGTCTCAAAAAAAAAAAAAAACTCAAAAAACAAAAAAGATCTTTTTCTTCCTACTACCACTGCCCAACTGTCCTCCATAGTTTTTTAACAGTAATAACAATAAACTATCTTTAAAACATGGCTTACAAGGATTTAACGGAAACTTCTTTCAATTAACTTAAAATGTTCACCCTTCATATGAGAAAATGGTTCCTGGAAGGAATAATATGGGAGCCAAGAATTTAAGTTCTTTATCAGGGCAATACTGAAAACCAAAAATAAATTTCTCTCCTTCTTGCCACTGAAGACAAATTTTAATATAGGTTTTAACTGCAGTGACAGACAAAAATAAAGTCTGCCTTTATATTTCAGACTAAATCAAGCAGAGATGGGTAAAGAGGAAAAATAAAAATTATTGGCAGATAGCAGTAAAGAATCTTGGCTAAGATAAAGAATTCTATTCACAGATGTGTATACTTATAAACAATTCGAAATGTCAATTTGAAAAACTCCCCACACACATTGTTACTGTACATATTAGAGAGTCATAGACTTTGAAGTTTAGGCTCCAGAATTCTACTGGAGTCTTACAATATTCTTATGTTTGCTGAATCTGGAAGTGAGAAGTATGAGGCAGAGTGAACTTTACTTGGGATCACATTAGCCCTCGTGACATATTGGAGAAGGAAGCAAAACTTGTGAAAAGGAAAACAAGAAAAGGTTACTTACTACAATTATCTCTTCCATAGTAGAGAGGTTCACTTTGTAAGTTGCAGTATTAGACAATATTTGTACATACTAATCACTCCAGATTGTGATATAGGAATTTAAAAAGAAAAAGAATTCTATATTACCTTATGTGAAATTGATTGTATCTATCATCACCAGATGGTTTTTTAATAGCTACAGCTAACTTCTTCCACCCTTCTTGAGGATCAATAAAATCTGACAGCTTCCTAATTAGTCCAAGGTTGAGGCTGCGCACATACGTTGATGATGTTACGGGTTTGTTCATCTTCTATCCCTAAAATATGGAAAATTCTCATTAAAAGTTTTACAGTAGTTGAAGATGACATCTGTATACACATATATCATGTTTTGCTATAGCATATGAAATGTTGGCAGCTGATTATACCATAAATAAAGGAACATTCCAAAGTCAAGTCACTGATATCCTGAGAAGAAATTAAAATTAGAATTTATATGTTTAACTGTCCTCTGGGTTTGCTTTTTTTTTTTTTCTACCTACAAATATCAATAAAAATTGGAGGGCATTTTTCTGACACTGATATTTTCCAAGTGAAATTTATGCAAAGGAGCAAAACTGTTTATCAGAAAAATTCCTGTGAGCATATTCAGGAATCATATCTATTAATAAAAGAAATTTATCATTTATTTAAAATACTTTTCTCAATAAGTACTTATTTAAAGAGTTTGAGGTTGCTATGAGCTATGATGCCATGGCACTCTACTCAGGACAACAGAGTGACTCTGTCTCAAAGTAAATGAATAAATAAAATGCAATACACTTTGGTAGAAGTAAAAAAAAAATGTAATGAAATAACATTAAAATCCACCTACTTTCCACTTAGTATGTTCTTCCTTGACCCCTGCACATTTTTGAGGGCATGAGATTTGCTTGACAACAATTCATTCATTCCCTACTAAGGCAAAAATTCATGCTTCACCACTTTACTCTCTAGACAGAATCTTTATTTCCTCAATCCCCCTTTTCTTCTGCTAACCCACCTTCAGAGCAGTATGGGCAAGGATGAATCTCATAATCTCTCTTTTTTATTTTTTATTTTTTATTTTTTTGAGACAGAGCCTCAAGCTATCCTCCTGGGTAGAGTGCTATGGCATCACAGCTCACAGCAACCTCCAACTCCTGGGCTCAAGTAAGTCTTCTGTCTCTGCCTCCCAACTAGCTGGGACCACAGGCGACTGTCACAACGCCCGGCCATTTTTTGGTTGCAGCCATCATTGTTGTTTGGCAGGCCTGGGCTGGATTCGAACCTGCCACCTCAGGTGTATGTGGCTAGCGCCTTAGCCACTTGAGCCACAGGCGCCGAGCCATGAATCTCATAATCTCATTGCACACCAGAGCTTCAGAATACAGCTATGGGGAGCTAAACAACTCAGTAGACTGGTGTGCATAGAAATTGACTGTTACCCTTTTTGCCTCCAGTCCGTCCACTACTGTTAATCTTTCACTTGTCTTCTCTCATTGTCCTTGGTAACTATTTTGGACCTTTGCCTCTCTCTGCATGGTTTTTATTTGTTCTCCATGTTCCTTATTCTTAGTAGATAGTGATCTCTTCTTCCAATTAATCAAGAATAATAGATTTAGATATTCCTCTGTTGAATACTTCTGCTTCCCTATATATTTTTATTTTAAAAATACAATTAATTTTTGGAGTAAAATAATGCATTCATAGAGAACAAAATTCTAAAGCTATAGAAGAGTAAAAAGCAAAAGTGCTCTGTGTGTCCTAGGCTTCTATGTCAGCGTCCATTTCTTTCTTTCTTTTTTTTTTTTTTTTTTTTTTTTTTGCAGTTTTTGGCCGGGACTGGGTTTGAACCCGCCACCTCCGGCATATGGGGCCGGCACCCTACTCCTTTGAGCCATAGGCACTGCCCCATCATCCATTTCTTCTTTTTGGCCTTTCTTAACCACCATGTCTACCTTCTCTTCACCTAATTATCTTTTGTCATTGCACAATATATTTGTAATCGTATATTTATTTATTTACTATTTATCTTCCTCATTCGACTTTAAACTCTACAATGCCAGGGGCTGTGCTCATTTATTCACTACTACATAGCTAGGGGCTTGCACGTCCTAGATCGTATTAGGTGTTTATTTTAGAAAGAAATAAACTATTGCCCAGTACTCTACTAGGTGATTTATGCATTTCATTTAATCATCTCAGTGACTAAAGCACGTCATCATCTCTTTGACAAAAGGTAGTAAGCGAAAGATCTAGGACTTAACCTCAAGCCTGACTCCAAAATTCATCCACATAATTTGATAAATTGGTCATGTTACTGTCTTTCTATGAAGACTACTCTTTCACTTTCATTTGAATGACCTGAATGAAAGCAGATAAGTAAGTGAGGCTCTGTCCTAAGTGACGAGGGCACAGAGAAGAGTAAATCCTTGTTCTCAAGCTGTTCGGCCTGGCAAGGGATACAGACAATTAGGATGAGTGGTGAATGTTGTGATAGGTGTGTTCTGACTGTTATGGGGCCCAGAGAAAGAGCGTCGAGCGGGGCAATCTGAAGGAGGAATGTCCAGACAGATTTGGTTGGAGTGGGAAGTTGAAAGGATGAAAGGAAGGGAATGAGGATAAACCCAAAAGAAAATTCCATGTAGAAACATAGCATGGGAGAAGGTGGGAGCACATGGGTTAGGCTCAGACAGGGAATTTGCAATGGCGAGACCACAGGGGGCGATAGGACCACAGGATGATTAAGTGACACGAGATGAGGCAGGGCCAAACTGACGAGTGCCAAATCGACGCAGGCCTCACATGCTAAGACAAGGAGGTTAAACTTAAATTAAAAATTATACAGGTGTCATTTCAAGATTTTAAGGAGAAGTGTTATATGACCCTATTTGGTTAATAAATATTCCTCTGGATAAAAGATTTATAGGAATGGGTATTGAGACACGGAAACCAATTTGAAAACTTCTGAAAACAATTTCATAAAAGATCAGAAATTGGAGGAAAGGGAGACAGAGGGAACAAAGAAAACGATCCCTGGGTGTTGTTTTGTTTTGGCCAAGTTAAACGGGAATTATCTACTTCTGGCACCATCTAGAGGAGTTGGCACCAAGGACCTATGTATTATATATTTGTCTAGAGCTTAGGCGAGAAGTTTCAGCAAAGAATGTTCACTGCAAGTGTTCTCACATATAAATTGAGAGCATATAAACATACATGGCTGAAGCAACAGTAAAAATGAGATTGCCTATTTGGAATGTTTAGAATAGAAAGGAATAAAGTGAAAGAAAGAATTTTTAAAAGTATTGATATCAAGAAGGTTAAGAAAAAACCAGGACACTAGCACACCAGAGACTTTTAGAATGGGGAAGGGGTTGGTATACATGTGTAAAGACTCAAAGAGGTCAAATAAACACCGATAGGTGTGTTAGATTTGAAAACCACAGGCCACTGTTGACTCAAGAAGGGCTGTAGTGGAAGTGTAAGTAAATGGCAAAAATAGATTTTCCAAGAGTTCTGGCTATGATGGGAAGTGAAGAGAAAGAGACAGAGACAGAGAGAAAAAGAGGTGTTCTCAGTTAATAGTGGCTGTTTTATATACCAATATTTACCATATTAGACATTGACACTGATAAATTTGTAACTTACTTATTCCTAGTTCATTTCAAATGACAATACATTATTACATGCTAGAATGCATAATATATTTTCATAAAAATAACTGCACTTCCACCCAAATCAGAAGAGTGATTGTTTTACAGTTTCGCAAATCTCTCTAAAGCTGAATTTAACAGGAGGCAGCCAAATTCTCATGTCTATTTCTTCATTCAGTCTGCTGCAGTATGTTGTTTGGTTGATGTGAATGAAAAAAAATCCAGCTTCACACCGACATAAGGAGCAATGTGGAGTCTGAAGCTGTACCAATGAACTTGCACATTAAAATCTACCACACTCTGAATGATTCTTTAACCATATGTGATTTCTATCTTGCAAACCTCCTGAAAGAATTTTGGGGACCCTAACTACACTTTGAGACTTCCAAATGAAAGAGTTTAAGACTTAACTGATTGTCAGTACAAATGGAACAGTGAATAGAGATGAATAAATCAGCCTTAAGTGGAAAGAAACTTCTTCCAAATCTAGAAAGAGGGAAGAAGAGGTCTGAATAAATTTGAAGGGAGAGGGAGAGCTCCCACACAATGTTACTTCCTCTGTGAAGCGGGAAGTGAGGTCATCTTGGGCCAGGTAAAAGGACTGACCAGGCACCTAAAGGGTCACCTGCTATTCTTCTCAGCCCAACTCAAAAGGCACTATTGGCTTTCCCTGAGAATCATCCCTTTTGGTCTAATATGTCACCCGGTCTTTCTTGCATTAGAACAATTATTATATTTTGTTGTTTACATGTCTGCCTTCTCTGTCAGATGATGGACTCTCCTGGGCAGGGGCCCAACAAAATTTACTTTAGCAGATACTTAAAATATTTGTGCTGAATGAAAAACTGATTTTTTAAAAATTAAGTGATATTATCTACCTAGAAGCAGAGTTACTCCCTTCAAGTTATTTTTCCTTTCATTTTATTTTTATTATTTTTTTGAGACTTACCTAGAAGCAGAGTTACTCCCTTCAAGTTATTTTTCCTTTTATTTTTATTTTTTTATTCATTCTTTGTGACAGAATCTTACTATGTCACCCTTGGTAGAGTGCTATGGTGTCACAGCTCACAGCAACCTCAAACTCTTGGGCTTAAGCAATTCTCTTGTCTCAGCCTCCCAGGTAGCTGGGACTACAGGCACCTGCCACAACACCGGGCTATTTTTTGTTGCAGTTGTCATTGTTGCTTAGCTGGCTTGGGCTAGGTTTGAACCCACCAGCCTCAGTGTAGGTGGCCAGCCCCCTACTCAATGAACTACAGGCACCACTTATCTTTCCTTATTTATTAAGATTTCTCTCTACTCTAAGAAGTATAATGTGATTGTCAAAGCTAGAAAAGACAGAATTGCTTAGTAATCCTAAAACTACAACTAAAATATAGGGAATTAAGAATTAAAAACAGCCTATCTGAAGGCCAGGGACAAATTTGATAGCTATCCTGCACTCAGACTTCTTGTAATGGTGTAAGGATACCAGGAAAAGGAAGGTCTTTTGGACAACGCCTTCATACATACGTGTCCAAAAGTTTGAAACCCCAGAAATTAAAATTTTACTTTTTACATAAATTCATTAACCACTCCCAACCACACACTTTGAAGAACATAAGCCAAAATATTAACAGTGGTTATCCTGTGGTGGTAATTTTTACAGTTTTGTTTTCATTTTTTTCAATAATGAAAACAGACCATGTAGAAAAACTTAAACAGTGTCATCATTTTCAGACTGTTCAAGATTTACTTTAGCATGCTTAGGATTAATGGACGTGGAACAGGATAAGTTGCTTACAAATGAGTAAATATCTACATGACTGTTTTCTCACACCATTCAATCTCATAGCAAAGAAAAATCATACTTATTTTTAAATAACACAATTCAGACAAGCAGACAGGGTGAGGTGGCGATTGAGACACATACTAAAATCAGTGTCTGCTCTCCAACACACACCTCCTCACGCACGCGCATCTTCTCCAAGTACCGTGCCGAGAATAGGAGTGCAAAACATTCCTGTCAAATCCATTACTACAGATTTAAGATTGTGCTTCACTAGATTCTCATCAATGGAGGAGACTGTACAGAAGTGGAGAGAAGATGCACTTTGAGGTTGCACGCGTTTGGGTTCTAGTCACAGCCAGCTGTGACCAGGGTTAGTAAACCAATTTCTCTGTGCCTTGGTTTCTTCATCTGAAAAACAGAGATATTAATACCTAAGGATTGTGGTAAGAATTAAAATCAACAAAGGCAAAGGGCCTAGTGTTGTCACATAATAGGTGGTAAAAAAAGAAAGTAGCAATTATTATTTTCTAGCAGAAGTTATTCTTATGTCATTTTTTTTTCAAAGAACTATGCAGAGTTGAATTTAAGCTCAATGTCCCGAACTGTAGTAAGGGCCACTGAGAAGGTACAAATAAGAGATCTGAGACTAGAACTAAGATTTTCAAGTGGTGGTAGTATTATTTCATTAATCACAGTTACTTCCATACATTTATAACCTTTCTAGAACATACTGTATTATTCACTCCCTGTGTTCCTAGAAAAATATGCTAGATAGCCATTAATCTTTATTTTTGGATACTTCAATATTATTCTGAACAAAAGCTGGTGATCCCTTCCAGATCCATTAACGTATGCAGGGCTACCTCTCTTAAATTGGGATATGTGCTGATGTGGCATGAATTATACAACACATCTTAATCAAACACTGATTTAACTCAAGGATTTAACTGGTAAGGAAGTTTAAATGCTTTGAATATATATTTTAAAAGTAATATCATTCCTTCATCAAATGTTAACTGAGTGTCTACTTTGTGCTTGGTATTGATTCAGGCCTCTGGAGAAAAAAAATTAGGAAAATTAGAAAAGTAAAAAATACCTGAACTCATGGAGCTTATATTCTCACAGAAAAAGACAGACAATAAGCAAACAAATAAATTTTAAAGTCTGTTAGATGGTGCCAAATGGAATAGAAGAAAATCGTCACAAAACAGAGAAGGGGCTATAATGTTAAATAAGTAGTTACAGCAGGATTTTCAACCAATGTGCCTAGAGAGGACTGTATGTGTGCTGTGAAAAATTTTAAAGATCATTAATTAAATTATTGCTGAAAGAAGTTCAAGGTACAGTAAATAGATTGCTTTTTTCTTACTCTTTTTTAAATCAACATAATATGTATATATTTTAAGACAGAGTCTCACTTTGTTGTTCTACATAGAGTGCTGTGTCATCATAGCAACTCTTGGGCTAAAGTGATCCTCTTGCCTCAGCCTCCTATAAGTAGCTGGGACTACAGGTGCCTGGTACAATGCCCAGTTAGTTTTTCTATGTTTAGTAGAGACGGTGGGGTCTCACTCTTGCTCAGGCTGGTCTTGAATGCCTGAGCTCAAGCAATCTACCCACCTCAGCCTCCCAGAGTGCTAGGATTACAGGTCTGAGCCACCTCCCCTGGCCTTTTATCAACATCATTTAAGTGTGCCATGTAAATTTAATTAAAGGTTTGATGTGCCCCGAGAAAAAAAAAAAAAAATGTTGAAAAACAGTGAGATAAAATAAGCCTCAACAAGAAGGTGATATTTGATTAAATGTCTGAAAGAATAAGAAAGCCAGGTTTCTCAGCAAAAGGAAGAGTCAATGCAATGGTTGGAAGTGGGCCCAAGGAGAAACAGCAACAGCAAGGAGATGGTGGACTGCAGACTGGCCAGCCGGCAATTAGCAGATGAGGTCCCAGAGGGAAACAGGCCATGTCTCCCTGGGCTTACAGTCTGTATTGACTTTGTTCCTGAATAACAGTCGTGTCTTAAGGATACTGGGACAGCTGAGAATAAAGGACATTGGAGTAAGGAGAGACAAGCAGGAAGAATGCAGCTAGGTGAATATCCCAGTAATCCAGGTGGGAGGGGGTGGAGGCTTGGACCACTGTGGTAGCAGGGCATGCGCAGAATTCCAGGGATGCCGGGTAGATTCCCAGGTAGAGCCTATAGAATCCTACGTGCTGATGCGGAGAGGGAGAACGTAGCATTGAGGTTTCTGGTTTGAACAAGTTTCCGGACACACACTGAGATGGACCAGACTGTGAAGGTGCACGTTTGGCCAGGAGCTCAGTTTGGACGGGTAGAAGGCAAATTTCAAATCAATGCTTCACACGAAAACAGAAGAATAGAAGAAATCTGAACTTTCTGAAAGATCTCTTCAAGGAATGCTCCCAGAAAGGGGGCATTTAATACCCTCTGCTCAAAGGCGCCTTGGGCAGATAGGATTTTGAGGTACTAACAGTTCCCGGTGGAAGCCCTAGAAGTGATTTCTCAGGGTTTGCTGTTAGGCCTTTGTGTCCTTTCTTGCTTCCAAGCTGTCAGGTAGACTTCTCCCCCACCCGGCCCCTCCACCTGTTAACGCACTTACCTGACCCTCCAACCCCTCTCCACTTTGAATTGCCTGCAGACTTGGAAGCTAGAGAAACAAGCTAATTAGAATGGAGAGAAGGCTCGCAAAGCTGTCTCTGCGACAAGCGTCCACCAGGCGCTGGCCCCACTTCCTGGTTCTCGGTAAAGGAGATTTCATTTCGTAAACGGGCTCACGGAACACGCAGTTCAGAAACCTGGGGTGAGAGCCAACGGCGCCCCAGAACTCTGGGTGACGCTCCTCCGCGCCTCAGGTTCATCCGACGAACGTCTGGCTTTCTAGGGACCCACCCAAGTCCTTCTCCTGCTGCGAGCTCTGTCCACGCAACCTACTTCCTCTCTAACTTTTCCTCATTGATGGGAAGGCGACATCCGTTCAGCAACGGTTCCCTAAAGCCCTAGGGTCGAGGGACCGAGGCCTGGATGCGGACCTCGTACAACCTGGGCGAAGGAAGAGCGCACCCCGGGAATCCCTTACCTGCCCCGGCGCGGGGCACCGGCGCGGCGCCGCCAGGAAGAGGGAGCCGGCGAAGGGCGAGCGCGCTCGGAAAGCCGAGAAAGGGCGGGACCGACCCTACAGTCCCGCCCCCTCCCCGCCTCTTTTTGTTTTTCATTTGCCTTCGCTCCTCCCTGCGGCTCCGCAAAATGAGCCACTGCTCAACTTGGTCGGGGCCTTCTTTACGAGGGAGCCTGCTCCTTTAAATACGCCCGTGTCGGAGGCTGAAAATGTTTGAGGCTTCCGGGCATGCGCATAGCGTTGCGCCGAGGAATGCCTTCATCTGCACGGAGGTAGATGGGGTCGAGCTTCCTAGAGTCGCGTTATGAAGATTGTGTATGGGGTAGCGACAAGGTCGGCTTTGAGGATCGTTTATTCCCAAAGAAGGGCGAAGTGTGCTGGTGTCGCACCTTGGGACAGGCGGGGTTAGGGGAGGGAAAAGAAGCGAGTGCAGCTGCTGTCGGTGTCGGGGATTCCCTTGGACTTCTGGAAGGCGGCGCCACCTTGGTTGTGTGCAGCGGCAGCTTCTGCAGGAGTGGGTTCCGCAGAGTTAGGGCGACTGGTGAAGGAAACGCATCCTGGAAAAGGAGCTGCTTTTCTCCATTTCTGACACCTTCCCAGCATTCCTAATTTCTCTGCCACGAGCTAGTCAAACTACCTTCCACCGGACACACCCATCAGCAAACTCTTGCAGGGGAACACTGCACCTTCATACTCAAGGCTATGTGGGCCCCTTGGCTGCCTCCAGTTCTGTTCCACTCTTGCTAAGATGTTTGGCTGGAGTTCCCTCATCCGAACCTTCTTCCCAAGTTTCCCTGCCTGTTTCACTAGCTTAGAATGTCTTTGTATCTTCTTCCTTTTTCTGGAGGAACAAAAAATAATTATTCTTTTAAGGCAAGGCCCTAGAGCTGTGCTCTCAATCCTATTATTCTTCACCTCCTCCAACTCTGACTCCACCAGATGCATCCTGCTCATTTTCATCAGTGTCCTCTTACTGAAGCACCTGTTTGGAGTATGTCACACTTTTACACAAACAGCTCCAGTGGCCATCTACTGATCACCCAATAGATTCTAAGTTCTTGACAGAGCAATCAAGGTCTTCCATAGTCTGGTATCAATCCAGCTGTGTATTCCAGAACCGTTCTACCTCCTCCCCACCTTGTCCCCACTTCTATATCTAGGCTTCTTATTATTCTCTCACACATTGGGTTTGGGGCTTGTACATTAATTATGATATCTCTGACGATTTTCTATCTTGTCGTGAACCGTTTTGTGGACCTCAATGGCCGCTTCTTGCTTTATGTCCTTCCTGATTGTCACGAGCAAAAGTGATGCCTTCTTTCTTCCACTTCATCCCTGCAGCTCTCAATTTGCACTAGTTTCATTTATTCAACAGTATTGACTGCAGACCAACTATGTGCTTGACACTGCTCTAAACGTGGGATAATCATTAGTGAGTAAAGAGGACAAAGTTGGTGCACACATAAAGCCAATATTCTAGTTGGATATTATCTATCTATTATAGATAATAAATGAAGGTAAAACATACACTAGAAATGCAATGCAAAAACATTAAAGAGGGTTTTGTGAATGATAGTCCTCTGCTGTTTCCTCCTATTGGTCAGAGAAAACCTCTCTGAAGATACAAATGATTGGGGAAGGAAAAATTTAAGCAGCGGGAACAGTTAGCATAAAAGTGCTGAAGAAGGTCAGTGTAGCCAGAGGATGGTGAGTAATAAGGCAGATGTCTAAGAGAAAGGCAGGGTCCAGAATCTTAGATGCCTTTGGAAACTAAGGTAAGTAATTTAGATTTCATTATAAATGTGATTAGAGCATTCTAAACAGGGGTATGGTATGATTCAATTTACATTTTCAAACATCATTTTGGCTGCCATGTGGAAAATGGACTATAGTGGGCCAGTAGAAGAGGCAGGAATTAGAGACCTTGATAGGTCTCAAAGTCTAAAAGATTTTGGAGTGGAAGTTTTAAAATAGAGTTGAAGAAGGACAGTAGGAGTGACCAGAGAATCAGGTGATTAATATTTATGCAGTTTTTGGAGATGGGAAAGTCAAAATGATGACCATGAGAGTGGGTGACAAAGATGAAGTGGAGGTGGGAGGTTGAGGTTGAGAGTGAGGGAGTGAGAGCACCAGATATGACGTGGGTGATCCACATGCAGGATCACAAAAGTCATGCTGGATAGTATAGTAGTGATCCAGTGGTCATCAGGGAATGAGGAGTCATCAGGGGATCCAAGACAGGATGGAAGCAGGTAGTAAAGCCTGATGGCATGACTTAAAAGGAACTGGGATTTGGGGAGGTAGTAGAGGAAGAATACCTTAGAAGGGACAGTGACAAATGATGAAAATATTTACACCTCCAGGTGCTAAGGCAGATGGGTATAAAATTAAAAATGCTCTTCACTTAAGAGGACTAACGAAGCAGTAACTTAGGGAAATGGGCAGGTTTCAATTAAGGCAAGAAATTGAGGGAAGTGTGATGGAAATTAAAGAATTAATGAAAATAGGTACATCCTCGTATATTTGAATATGGAGAATTTCCTATGATTTCTACATGGCATAATGGAAAGGACTGAGAATTGAGAAGGGAGATGGTTTTGACAAATTGGTTCAGATTAGTAGGATGTATTGTGGAAATGGGTTAAAGGTCCAGATAATGATAAATTACTTGGAGAATGTGGGTAACAAAAAGAATTGAGTAGCACGGAGCACCTTCCCAGGGCAATTTATCTTTCCTGCAGTTCCATGTGCTATGGTAGCTATGGTTTATGGGAAAAGTGTGTGAAGGCTTTCTCTGAGTACTGTTCTCTTGTGTATTGTTCCAAGAAAGCTCTGTAAGAGTTTCTTCTCTCTTGTGCCAATGATACTGTTGGAATTTTCCTCTGGGTCAACCTCAAAAGTTTCTGTCTGTCCCAACGGGAGCTTTAGAGGAGCCTTAATGTCCAGGACTAATGTAAGCATCCCTTGAAATCAAATTTCAAGTTGGTATTTACCAACTTCATTGAAATCAAATTGCAATTTGGTATTTATAACTTCATTCACCTTATCAGTTGAGACCACTTTGTCCTATCTTCTTCAACTCTTTTCTATACATAACCTCTAATATTTCAAAAGCTAGCCACACATTCTCTGGAATTAGCTAAAAATTTTAGGCTTCAGGAATGGGTTTTGGACAAGTCTATGTAAATAATCCCATATTCTCATCTCTTCTTTGTGGGCCTGTGAATGGTGTTTTTAAGGCCATGTAATAGTGTTCCTGTGAATGGTGTTTTTAAGGCAAACTTAAAATTGACCCATTGTAATCCTGAATAATTAGATGGAAGCCTAGAACGAGTGAATATCTGAATTACAAATGACTAGTTGTACCAGAAATAGCTTGCCTATTAATTCATCTTGGTATAGGAAAGTAGAAGTTTATCATAAATTATTAATGTCATTTAAAAGGACTCAGAATTAAAAGGAGACAGAAATAAATAAATTCTGCAAACTTATTTCGGCTTTGTCCTGCACAACTTCTCTTTCTGGTAACTGGCTGCCTCTTTGTTTCTTTTGTAGGCTTTGCTATTTAACAATGGAAGAGGATATAGATTATACAGTGAGGTTTAGTTCTCTGCGTTTTATTAATGACCATGTTGGATTTCATGGCACAATAAAAAGCTCACCAAGTGACTTTATTGTTATTGAAATTGATGAACAGGGACAATTAGTTGATAAGACCATTGATGAGCCTATTTCTGAGATTAGTCAAGTAAAACCTGAGCCAAATAATTTTCCCAAAAAACCAAAACTAGATCTTCAAAATCTGTCCTCTGAAGGTAGAAGTAGCCAAGAACTTCGTACTTTGGCGAGATGCCCTGATAGTGACCAAAATTGTCATTCAGATTCAGAAAAAGAAGATACTATCAATGACAGAGCTTCCAAATGTGAAGAAAAACCTGATGTAGTAAGTCCCTATTTAGATGAAAAAACTAATGAGTTACTGAATCATTTTGCCTGTGACATAAAAGACAAATGGCTTTCTAAAGCTGAGCTAACTGGACCAACGCCTGAATTCTCAACAGGCAGAATCCTTGACAAAACCCAGAGGGCTAGTTTACATAGTGCCATTAGGCAGAAATTTCCTTTTTTAATGACTGTAGGAAAAAACAGTGAAATTGTTGTAAAACCAAATCTTGATTATAAAGAACTCTGTCACTTAGTGTCTGAAGAAGAAGCAGCTGGCTTTTTTAAATATTTAGATGCAAAGGAAGAAAATTCCAGGTTTCTCTTTAAACCTGATGCAAACAAAGACCACAGAAAAGCTGTTCATCATTTCGTCAACAAAAAGTTTGGAAACCTTGTGGAATCCAAGTCTTTTCCTGAACTGAATTGCAGTGCTAATAATCCAAATGTGGTGATAACAGTAAGATTTCGGGAAAAAGCACACCGGCATGGGAGAAGATCTCTTCGTGAATGCCAGGAAAGAAAGGATAGGTATACAGGTAAATTTAATGCATCGTCATTTTCTTAGGTAAGCTTAGTTAAATGGAAAATTGTGTGAAAGCTGAATAATTTCATATGAATAGACTCTGCTGGAGAGATACTATATGTTTTATCTATTTATGTAGGAAGTATATTTATGTAGGATACTATTTATGTAGGATACTATTTATGTAGGATAATATTTATGTAGGATACTATTTATGTAGGAAGAGGAATTGCTGGTAGGTGATTTAATTCCAGGAGTTCTAACTTACTCTGTTACTTAATGGAAGATAACATCTTTCTAATAACACCAAATGTAAAAATTAGCTTTATTGAAGACAGTGTGGTAATACAGGCATTTATAGTTAACACAATCATAAACATATAAAGTTCTATGTACATATGTAAGCAGTTATATTGTGTTCAGTAAAGTTTTATAGAAGGTAAATCTTGATTTCATTTTTTAAAAATCATCTTAATTAAAATTAAGGATGTGGAGATAAAAATATTTTTGTTGTATTAATATCTGGCGAAGTGAAGAGAATACTTTGTGTACCCAGGGAGGGAACCTGAAAACTGGGTTCTGTCAGTTCTCTAGAGAGGATATGCCCAAACTTTAGCCTGTGTTATAATCAGGAAAGGGTCTTATTAAAACAGGTTACTGACCCCTCAAGTTTCTGGTTCAGAAGGTGTGGGGTGGGGGTCTCACAAATTCCAAGGTGATGCTTTTCCTGCATTTTCACAGTCACTGTTTGAGGGGATAGATTTAATTCCCACGATGAACTCTCACTGTGTAGGTCCAGCTGACCAGGTTTAATTGGCCTATGCCCTTCATGAAGATTGGGAAGTGTTTCACATGGTCATGTTTTATGAATTTATTTAGCAAAGTATTTTAAGATAAAACCAGCAACCCCAGTTTGCACAGATGTAGTGGCACAGAAACAGGATTGTACTCTGAAGGGACCACAGATTAAATGAGAAGAGTTTAGATATTGGAGTTATGTAGATTTGATTTTTACATTATGGCTTTAGTTCACAAAAAAACTTATAAAATTTTTATATCATTAAGATTTGGTTCTACAAATGTGAAAATGGGATGAATAATACCAGGGTCAGGTTAACAGTTCATAACTTTGGGTTGTACTTGAAAAATGTGGTAATAGTAAAACCTAATTTACAATTATATTCTAAGCAGGGAATATATATTTTAGACAGAGCATGTGAAAATGCACAACTGTGGAACGTTGTAGACCTTCCATGGATTGCAAGAAGTTCTTTCTGTCTGGGTCATAACATATCTGAATGGAAGTGGCCCATGTGGAAACTGCAAGGGTAGATTTGGGCCAGCTATGAATGCCAAATTAAGAAATTTGGATTTTTTTTAATGAGCCAAGCAGCATTTAAAAAATAACAGCTGAAATCAGTGATGCTGCTTCATATTTTGACTAAAAAACCTGATTTATTTAAATTAATGATTTGATTTTTTATTGAGACAGTCTCACTGCATTGCCCGCAGTAGAGTGCCATGGCATCACAACTCAAAGCAACGTCAAACTCTTGGGCTTAAGCGATTCTCTTGCCTCAGCCTCCTGAATAGCTGGGACTACGATGCCTGGGTATTTTTTGGTTGACAATTGTCATTGTTGTTTTAGCTGGTCCAGGCTGGGTTCAAACCCTCCAGCCTTGGTGTATGTAGCCAGTGCCCTATCCACTGAGCTATGGGCACTGCCCTGATTTGATTTTTTAAACTGTTAATCAGTTAGTCTGCTAAGAATATAATTATATATGGTAGTCTCTTCTTTTGTAATCTAAGATTATTTTTGTTTCAGCTTTTACCCTACAAAAGGAAAACCTGGAAATGTTTGAAGCGATTGGTTTTTTAGCTGTCAAACTTGGTGTGATTCCTTCAGATTTTAGTTATGCGGGCCTTAAAGACAAGAAAGCCATCACCTACCAAGCAATGGTTGTCAGAAAAGTGACTCCAGAAAGGTAATAAGATACTGCTTTGTAACATAGAACTTTATATTTATCAAATTAATAAGTAGTAAATCAAACATTCAGAATAATACTGGGAGCATATTAACCTTACTATCTGTAATATTCATTATTGATTACTAACTTGGCAAACATTGGCATTCATAATATAATTTTCTGCTAATTAGAGCTATGTCTTAAATTTATGTTGAAAATAGAGTATGTTTTAGGATAGAAACTTTGAGAAGTGCAGATTTAAATTGTCTAAATTATTTCTCAATATCCTGTGCTATATTTAAATATGCATTTGCCTTCAGGAAAGTGTCTTATAATTTTTTTCTAATTCTTATAATGTGTATGTACATGGATTATCTTGAATCATTACACTTAAAATACTCATAAATTCCTATTAAATAGAATGTATTTAAATTTAGCCTCCCTCAGCTTAATCAAATTTTAAAAATATTTTTATAATTGTAAAAGAAATATATATTTATTGTAGAAAATTCAGAAATAGAGAAAAGCATAAAAAAAGAAATTAAAGTTTCCAATAATTCCACTACTCAGTAACAACTATAATAACATTTTGATCTATTTATTTCACACTTTTTTTAGACTAACTACATCACACATATATACCACACAGGCATTTATTATAGATATAACTCACACTGCATGTATAGTTTATATTTTACTTTTTTTTCTTTTGAGACTGAGTCTCAAGCTATTCTCCTATGTAGAATGCTGGTATCATAGCTCACCGCAACCTTCAGCTCTTGAGCTCAAGTGATCCTCTTGCCTCAGTTTTTCTATTTTTAGTAGAGATGGGGGTCTCGCTTTTTGCTCAGGCTGGTCTCAAACTTGTGAACTCAAGCTATCCACCTGCCTTGGCCTCCCAGAGTGCTAGGATTACAGGCATGAACTACCATGCCCGGCCTATATTTTACTTTTTAAAATAAAACAAAATTGTTATGTGAAAATTGATATCGTGAAATATTTCAAAATCATGTTCATTATTTAGAATAATTTGTTTAATATCCCCCTATTTTTGAAAAGTAGAATTTGTTCCGGTTCTTTTATTATAAATGCCATGATTAATTTTCTTATAATTAAATCTGTACCTCATGGATAATTTTTGCTTAAGATCAACTCCCAAAAATTGAATTAGTAAGTCAAAATTTAGCCTAATTTGATCGAATGTCCATACATTAACCCCTGGTTACGAGATGCTTAAGAATCCACTAAATTTCTGATATCTAAATGCTTCTAAGCTCTTACATCGGGGACGAAAATGTGTATGATTTTGTCTTTGTGGTGAAGAAGGACAGTAAGGAAAAGAACTTCAGATGTTAGAAAATGTTCAACACAAAAGCTACGTTTTAATTCTCAAAGACAATACATATATTAGTTTCTTGTAACAGAGATTTCTTTGATTTGGCTTATGGGTATGGGATTTTCCTTACCCTTCAAGTAATAGTGGGATTTTAAGAGATGTAAAAAATCTGGAGATATATTTGGAGAGTCAGGAAACTAAACAGTCTGCCTGACACACAGGGTGGTCATAGAGTTGACTGTTTTAAATTGTACACCAACTTTATGGCCACCCTGTATAATTCCTATAGAGACTACAGAAAATAGGGATATAAAGGAAAGTTTCTATCTGTTCTTATTGGACCTTGAAAGTTCTCAGAAAATTTGAATCTATTCCTTAGAGGTTAGGGAAGAATTGAAAGTTTGAGTAAGAAAGTGTTCGGAGCAGAATTTGGAACATCTTCTGGTGCTGGTGGTTTTTCTTGGCAAGGCTGGGGGAAGAGAGACTGAAGGAGCAGAGTGTGGGGACAGGAGGATGAGTAGAACTTCTAGGAGGTTCTGTCACTTGAACTAAGAAGTCAGGTCTATGGAGACAGAGTGATAGCATTAGTAACACGTGTTCAAGTTCTTAAAATTATTCTGTTATTATAATCCTATAGTAATGGCTATTTAGTGCACATTTGTTGAAATAACATTAACTTTCGAATATTTGAAGACATTTGTGCTACTGTTCAGATCTAAGGGGTTGCTTGGCAGTTATCATTTAAAACTTTATACTAAAGTAATTTTAAATGTAAGATTTAACTAAATGTATGATTTATCCCTTGTAGGTTGAAAAATATTGCAAAAGACCTTGAAAAGAAAAGAATGAGTGTGTTTAATATTCGGTCTGTAGATAATTCCCTTAGACTCGGTCAGCTCAAAGGAAATCACTTTGATATTGTCATCAGAAATTTAAAAAACCAAATAAACGATTCTGCAAACTTGAGAGAAAGAATTTTGGAGGCAATAGAAAATGTTAAGGTAAGAAAACGTAATTTGAAAATAGAATATTATAGGAAAATTGTTATTATAGTCATTAAATCTTCTATATATTAAGGCAAGAGGGGAAACTTTTTTGGTACCTTTTTATATGTATTTTTAAAGTAATAATTATTTTTAAAGTGATAATTAGGATCATTTGGCTTATTTTTTAATTCTTCTTAGTACATCTTTGTATTAAAACAAAATAGATAAATGTAATTTAAAAAATACAGTGTATGG